AGAGGAGACTGGCAGCAGCGAGGACCCCAGCCCGCCCGGCGGCCACCTCGAGGGCTACCCATGTCCCCACCTGGCCTATGGCGAGCCTGAGAGCTTCGGCGACAACCTGTACGTGTGCATCCCGTGCGGCAAGGGCTTTCCCAGCTCCGAGCAGCTGAATGCGCATGTGGAGGCGCACGTGGAGGAGGAGGAGGCACTATATGGCAGGGCCGAGGCGGCTGAGGTAGCGGCGGGAGCCGCCGGCCTCGGGCCCCCTTTTGGAGGGGGTGGGGACAAGGTCGGTGGTGCTCCCGGCGGACTGGGCGAACTGCTGCGGCCATATCGCTGCGCGTCGTGCGACAAAAGCTACAAGGACCCGGCCACACTGCGGCAGCACGAGAAGACGCACTGGCTTACCCGGCCCTATCCATGCACCATCTGCGGGAAGAAGTTCACGCAGCGCGGGACCATGACGCGCCACATGCGCAGCCACCTGGGCCTCAAACCCTTTGCGTGCGACGCGTGCGGCATGCGCTTCACGCGCCAGTACCGCCTCACCGAGCACATGCGCATACACTCGGGCGAGAAGCCCTACGAGTGCCAGGTGTGCGGCGGCAAGTTCGCCCAGCAACGCAACCTCATCAGCCATATGAAGATGCACGCCGTGGGTGGCGCAGCTGGCGGGCTGCCCGGCGTCCCTGGCCCGGATGGCAAAGGCAAACTCGACTTCCCCGAGGGCGTCTTTGCTGTGGCCCGCCTCACAGCTGAACAGCTAAGCCTGAAGCAGCAGGACAAGGCGGCCGCTGCCGAGCTGCTGGCGCAGACCACGCACTTCCTGCACGACCCCAAGTGCCCGGCGTCCCTGGCCCGGATGGCAAAGGCAAACTCGACTTCCCCGAGGGCGTCTTTGCTGTGGCCCGCCTCACAGCTGAACAGCTAAGCCTGAAGCAGCAGGACAAGGCGGCCGCTGCCGAGCTGCTGGCGCAGACCACGCACTTCCTGCACGACCCCAAGGTGGCGCTGGAGAGCCTCTACCCGCTGGCTAAGTT